GGAGGCAGTGGAAATGCCCTGCCAATCGGCAATGTGTGGTGTAAATATTATGCAGAGAATTCAGAGTGTGGAAATTAGGAGGAGGTGTGGAGTTACTAAAAGTATTAGTCAGAGGGCTGAAAAGAGGTTGTTAAGGTGGTTTGGTCATTTAGAGAGAATGGACCAAAGTAGAATGACTTGGTGAGCGTATAAATCTGTGGGGGAAGGAAGGCCGGGTAGGGGTTGTCTAGAAAAGGTTGGGGAGGGGGGGGGGGTAAAGAATTTTTTGGGGGCGAGGGGCTTGGACTTCCAGCAATTGCCCATGTGTGAGTGTATTAGATAGGAGTGAATGGAGACGAATGGTTTTTGGGACCTGATGAGCTGTTGGAGTGTTAGCAGGGTAATCTTTAGTGAAGAGATTCAGGGAAACCAGTTATTTTTATATAGCCAAACTTGAGTACTGGAAAATGGGAAGTACAATCCCTGCACTTTAAAGGAGGAGTTTGGGATATTGGCAGTTTTGGAGGAGTATGTTATTTATCTGTATATATGCTTCTAAACTGCTGTATCTGGGCACCTCTGAAAAGGGACAGCAATGATGTGTGGGTGAGGTGAAAGTATTGGATGATGATGAAAGTTTCTTTTTGGGTCACCCTGCCTTGGTGGGAGTCGCTGACTTGTTGAATAAAAAAAAAAAAGTTATAAGTGGTAGTTTGCAGTGCATAATGAGAGGATATTAGGTAAAAGGAAACAAGTGCAAACTAATGCAACATTTTTTTGTGGCAACATTTCACTCTCCAGGAGCTTTGCCACAATTAAATGTCACATTAGTTGTACTCTTGTAACTTTTACCTAAACTTATTGTGGGTAATCCTCCAACCTTTAATATATAATGAGAGCGGGTCTGTTGGATTACCTTTATGTGCTGTAAAATGAAAGGTTAAAGTAGGCTTTTGAATATTCATATACCTGAGTTGTAATTGATAGGTCTGATCATTCCCTAGTATGGGTAGTAACTAAAATAAGATAGTGTTTTGGGAAAGGTGCAAGATAAGGGAAAAAATAGTGTATATGGAAAGTGGAAGATAAGGAAAAAGGTGTCAGTAAGAAAAAAAGATGTAATTTGTGTGCATGCACCCACTGGTTTATTTTTTATTTGGGCCTATCTACAATGGAGTGATGGTGGAGGGTGCATTGCAAGGGAGTGGGGTTGGGGGAAAGCCAGGTAGAGGTGGGAGGCATACTTGTGTACTGTACTGTACTTGTGACACCAAAAATGAAATTTAAGTTAAAATTCTTTAACCATCTGCCTGCCTGCTTGCTCTTTCTTGCTTTGTTTGTGCTTTTCATAAACAATTATTTTGTCTTGGCAGCATAATTTCAGTTAGAACAATGGGGAGCTTGTCTTTACTACCCCAGTGAAAATGGACAGGGTCCTAGACAAAGTCTGAACAATACAAACTTGCGATTAGGAGGAGTTGGTCCATTTTACCGAGGGTACGACCAGAGTGGTGCATGAAAAGGTAGGTTGCAGGCAGTGGAAATTTCTTTTCACAGATCATTTTTTTTTTAATTCGTTGCAGGGTAACATTTATAAAGAATTTAGGGGAAACTAGTTTGCTAAACTTGTCTTGCAGTTGGGAAATGCAGTGCCTGCACTTGGGTAGTTGGTAGGGATGTTGGAGTTGGAGGGTAATCTGAAGTGTGATATCAGCACATTCTGGGGAAGGGAGCAGTTTGAATAAATGATGGTGAATGTGTTTTCTTTTTTGGGGTCACTCTGCTTTGGTTGGGGGATTGGTCTGAGGTAAAGAAAATTGTATTGTAGTTCATAAAACTTTTTTAAGGTTTGACTAATCACATTATATTTTTAAAATTGGTTTGAGTTTCTCCATGGTACATCAAGGAAATAATTCAGTATTATTTATGTTTTAGATTGGTAAGATTGATGAAATATTTGGAACGCCCTATGACAAAATTTTTGTCTGTCAAGCTTAGCGAGAATGTCAAGCTTCATCATTCAAGGAAAATACAAAGGTAAAAATTTTTTTTACACAGTACGTAATTATAATTTTTGAAGGATTTCTGACAGTTTCCATTCAGTAATATAATTGTTATACATTATTTTTGTTGTAGCTACTTTATGTAAAATTATTATATGTGAGTTTTTTTGTGAAACAGGGAAAAGAATAGCAGTTGTCTTTATGATTCAAATTGACCATGGGCCATTTAAACATGTGATACATCAATAGAAAGACATGCTTAATTGATTATGAAATTTAACATTTGTGCGACCTCGGTTAAAAACTTTAGTCTTATCTGGAAAAGCGCAAGTACCTCATGAGTGTTTGTGGGTGTTAGAAATACACCTACCATCTGACTTACGACCCGCTGACATACGTCCACTCGACTTACGACCATGCATCTGGCAGCTGGGCTGGGCCGGCTGATGCATACCTCTGTACAATATTTGCGATACTCCGGCGGCAATGGCGCCCTGCAGGCAGCATCAGTTTGAGTAACCCTGTCCTATCAGCAGCTCATACTGTATTAACTGTACTAACTGGACGTAAATTTCACCATGGCCCCTTTGATGAAGTCTGAATCTTGCACTGGAGATTGTGGCAAGAAAGGCTCTTACTCTCGAACTCTCTATTTGTTTTCACTGTTGCACATAAACCTGTCTGTATCTGTTGCTGTATATCTGTGTCTGTCTGTTCTGTGTGTGTCTGTTATCTGTTTTTTTCTGTCTTTCCTGTGTGTGTCTTTCTGTCTACCTGTGTGTTTGTCTGTCTACCTGTGTGTCTCTTTCTGTCTACTGTGTGTCGTCTTTCTGTCTACCTGTGTTCGTCTTTCTGTCTGCTTGGGCTGTCTCTGAGCCCCTCATTAATAGTGTAATTGGTCTTGAAGATGCCATATTAATAATAATAACAACACAATAATAATCACTGAGGCACATTAAATGTGTATAAACGTTAATATAGACATTTTGCTTAATCCATCTATGATTTTTTTTTTTCAAAAAATTTTATAATAAACATGCTATGTAACGTATTAAACATATAAATTAACAAATATTTGATGTTTTTCTGGTCGGCTTGACAGAGTGAAAAAAACCATTCGTGTCCCGGGGTGGTAACAACAGCAACAACAACTAGTTTGTTTACAAAACTCGCGGAAACCTTTTTACACTTTGGAAAATATACACGTATGCAGTATATGTGATCCTTTATTGACAACATTTCACCCACACAATGGACTTTTTCAAAATCCAAACAGATCTACTTGGGGTGGGAAGGGATGCGAGTATTTATAGTCAGGTTCAGAATGCTGGGTCAGGTGGAGAATGCTGCATGTGATGTCTACCGAGTGGGGTTATAGAGTCTAAAATCTTGGGTAGCTTTGGGAAAGGGGGATTGATAAGTATGTGAGTAGACCGTCTGCAGTGTTCCTCCTTTTCCCATGTTCTTATGTGGGATAGCGATGAAGAAATTTCATGTCAAGTGGTTCAGCTATGTTATAGAAGCCATTGTTCTGGTTGAAGTTGTTGGATAAGAGTAAGCGATGATTCCAGGATTCTTCGGGGATGAGTGTTGTCTTCTCTGGCAATAAGTCTCGAGTTTCTGTAGTTGATTTAAATGGTAGTGTGAAAAATTTTTTAGCGAAAAAATGTATCGCTATGGGGGAAATTTTAACACAATGCGATGCCAACTTTAAAATGGGGGGGGTTCCACTGTCCTTGGAACATCTGCCACTTTGCTCCTCTATCCCTCTATCATATCCCTTTTTTCTAAACCCATGAAGCAATAAAAAACTTCCTTCCCTTTTTAAAAAATGTTCACATATATGCGGGCAATGTAAACACTTGATCTACTTTTTCCCCTTTCCCACTCTAAAGCTCCTCGCTATCGGGAAATTTCCTATTCTCTGTTTTACCTCTAATTCTTTCAAAAAAAAACCCTACCATACTTTTTTCCCGGTTTTCTCATTTAAAACCTCTAATTCTTTCAAAAAAAAACCCCCTCCCATACATTTTTCCCGGGTGTATCAGTTGATTTTTCCCCCAAAATTTTTTTCATCCTCTCTCTGCCAACCTAGGTCCCTTTTTCCCCTCTTTCATATGTTGCTTATGTTTTTTTAAAAAATTACCCTTGAAAAACATAAAGGGGAAAATGCTGGTTTTTTTTTGCCTTAAAGAAGCTTTTTTTTTTTAATTTATTTAGAAAAATCTGAGAAAAAAGGGGAATATCAAAATACAGGGGGACCCTCGACCAACACGGGCCCATGCTGAAATAAAATAGCCTAAAAAGGGAAAATTTTGTGAAAAAAATTTTTGGGCTCAAACCAACGGGGAAAAAACCGGGTAAGGACTTTTTGTCCCAAAACGTATCCGCCTTCCACCATCCAGCCTGAGTGCCTCAGCTGCCCTGCCTTCACCTAGTGTGCCATTGTTTACAAGCCGGGGGCGAACTTTTTCAGCATACATGCATATATTTTGTATTATTCCATTTTTTTTTTGGGGGTTCTAACTGCAAAAATTTTATGCCCCCGGGGGCCCCCAAAGAAAGCTTCTAGGGGCCAAAACCCTGTGGAAAAAAGGGTAAGAAATTCTATCGAAATACTACCCGCCCATGGTCAGCGGGCTGCTGCTGCACCACTGCCCACTGCTGTTTGGCACCACTGTCAGCTGCTGCTGCACCACGGGTCACCCTGCTGCTGCCCCACTGTCGCTCTGCTATGCCACGTCAGCTGCTGCTGTACCACAGTCCTGCTGCGTACCCCCCAAACGGCTGCTGCTGTACCCCCAATCAGCTGCTCCCTTGTCCATGGTCAACTGCTGCTGTCCCACAGTCAGTGCTGCTGTCCCAAAAGGGCCCAGCTGCGGCTGATTTTTGGTCAGCTGCGGCTGTCCCACGGTAAATATTTCTGAAACAGGGCCCAGCTGCTGTTTGTCCCAGGGTCAGCTGCTGCTGTACCAGGGGCCAGCTGCTGCTGTACCACGGCCCGCTGCTGCTGAAACCATGGCAAGCTGCTCTGAAACCACGGTCAGTTTGCTGCGTACCATGGTCATTTGCTGCTGTACCATGGTCAGCTGCTGCTGTCCCACGGCCCAGCTGTGCTGTACCAGGGTCAGCTGCTGCGTACCACGGTCACTGCGCTGTCCCAAAGGGTCAGCTGCTCCCTGTCCCCGGTCGGGGCTGCTGCGGGTTACCAGGGTCACCCTGCTGCTGTCCCACGGTCAGCTGCTGCTGTACCACGGCCCGGTTTGCTGTTTTGTACCCGGTCAGTTTGCTGCTTTACCCGGTCAGTGCTGCTTTTACCAGGGGTCAGCTGCTGCTGCGGGCTTGCCCCACCATCAGTTGAAACAACTCAAAGATGTGGAGAGAGTATTGTTGGGGGTCCTTAACGAGAAACAATTACAGAGAAACAATTAACCCCAGAGGGTTACCCAAATCAGGAAAACCCCAAGGGAAAGTCAGTGCGTCTTTAAAGGGAAATGCCCAAACCTTTTTTCCCCATTGTTGTCTTTAAATTTTGCCCCCAGGATGTGACCCACACCAGCCCGACAAACACCCAGGTGAACGGGAAAAAAAAATCCCTAAAAACTATTTGCTCATATTGGTAAATTTAAAGGGGCCAGAAAATTTTTTGGGTTTGAGAGTTTAAGAATCTAGGGGGGGGGGGCATAAACGTGTGAAAAGGCATGGCGAAGCTAAAAAATTCCCCACCCCCCATTAAGTTTTCCCAATTGGACGAAAAAACCCCCTGTTCTGGAAAAAAATTGAAAAAGGGACCTACAACAAAGGGGGAAAAGGCACCCCCAGGACAAAAAGCCTTGAAAGACGGGCCCTAACTCTCTTGTTTTGTTGTAATGCTAGGGGGGATTGAAAAGTGAACCCTTTTTATCTTGTATCACTAAAAATTTCCCAGTGTGTTAAAAAAAAAACAGTGCCCTTCATCAATCATCAATACAGTGGCCCCCCCGGTTTACGATTTTTTCTTTCCCAAAGTATGTTCAGGTGCCAGTCTGAGCGAATTTTTTCCCGATGACACCCGAATCGCATGACATGTCTTCCATTGCAGACACGAAGGCTCCGGGTGGACATCAACCAAATCTTTCAGGGGGCTGCAAAAAAACAATATGAATTTAAAACGATGAAAATTTCAATTACTCAGATATGGTAAAAAATGAGGAAATTAAATCTTCATCAGAGTAAAAAAAACAAATTTTTCCCCACAAAATAGACCCAAAAAACCAAAATTCAAAACCTGGGAGTGATAAAGTCGGGGGAAAAAAATTTTCCCCCCCCCCCCAAGGACCATAACATTGTATCAATCGCATCTGCTAGAAAAATAAACGGGTTTGAAAATGAAAAACCTTTCCCAAAACTGGAGGCCAAGCCCATGTTTGACACTCTTCGGGTCCCCTTTTTTAAATCTAGGCTGGAGTTTTGGGCTGAAACCCTAACAGCCCCTTTTAAAGGGGCGGTTTAAAATTTCCCGGGGAACCTAAAAAAATGTACAATAGAGAACTTTCACGGCGCGCATAACGGAGAAAAAAACACCTCAATTACGGGAGCACTTGTTTTTCCTAAACCGTATTCCTGGAACGCAGGAGGGAGAGATCAGATTATATACCCCTGGAAAAATCCAGAGGGACTAGAAACCCGAACTTGCAAAAACAAAAACACTCACTACGAAAGAAAAAAGATTTGGGCAGACGATGCACCACCCCCCCAATAAAAAGGAAAAAAAAGGGGTTTCACTAGAAACCTTTAAAGGGAGACCATACAATAAGTTTTCGGGGGCCCCGAACTGTTAAAACTGCCCCCAGCACACAAAAGGGGGGGATTACCAACGGGAACCCCGGGCAGTTTTCCCAGCGGGCACTGGAAACACCTAAAGTCAGTTCCGGATCAGCCGGGCGTGGCTCGACTTTGGTTTGCGTGCAGCCAGCAGCAACACCGGGTTGATCGGGCTCTGATCCACCAGGGGGCCGGGGGCCCTAGCCCGGGGCCGCGGGGGGGTTCCCCCCGGAAAACTCTTCCAGGAAAAAACCCAGGAAAAGGGAAATTTTTGTGAATTAGATTAGCCCTTTTTCGGGCCCCCAAAACGTACACGTACAAAGGGCACTTGCATAAATAAAACTTCCCATAATTGGTCGCATTGGGGGGTGATTGAAAAAGCGGGGGTCCACTTTACTTTTCAATACAGGAAAAGTGTCCTTTTTAAGCATTTTTTTTTTTTTTTAAAGTTTATTGTGCATGTCTAAATTTTGTTTTCTTTGTGGGGAAATGAAATTTTTTCATGAAAAAAAATTTTTTTTTTTTAATATTTTTGGGCTGTCTGGAATGGAAAATTTGGATTTCCTTATTTCTTAGGGGAAAAATTTAAAATTTCGGAAAACGATAAATTCGGCAAAGGGGAAAAGCTTTTCTGGAATGGATTAATATCTTTGGTCGAGGGCCCAACTGTTTTTAAAGAATACCTAGGTTTCTCCCATTAAAATTTATATCAGAAGTTTAGCTATGAAAAAATCACACTAAATAAAATTGAGTTTTTTCCCTATTTAAACCCTTTGGGTTTTGGGTTTTCCCATTACTCGGGGGCCTTATTAAGGTGGTCATTTTAAATTTTTTTTGTATATATTTTTAGCCCCCCAAAAGATGAAAAATTCTTTTTAAGAATATTTTAAAGGTGCTGGAGTAGGGTTACTTTACCCCACACAGCACAAAGGACCTTGTGTGTAAAGTGACAACAAAGATTTTCCCTTTTTTTCAATGCTCCAATATTTTTAGAAAAAAAAGAGCAGGGGGAAGTACTGCCCCAAAAAATTTGTTTAAAAATTTATTCAGTGAGATTTTTTGATTTAATTTAGCCCTTTTTTTTTTTTAAATAACTACGTATAAAATTATAATATATTATAGTGGGTTGTAGGGGGAAGGGTTTCAGAAACCCGGGCCCATTTTGATGAATTAGACACATGGGGCAACTCTTGGGTATCTTTATTGAGGAAACGTTTTGCCACACAGTGGCTTCATCAGTCCATACAAAGAAAATCTTGAAAAAACGGGAAGGAATGGGGTAATCAGTCCCTAAACCTTGAGTCGATTGGCCGTCCTTAAATTTTTGGGAAATAAAAGGGGTTTAGGGGGGGAGAAGGAGCTTAAAAAACCGTAGGCGGGGAGAGGTCCCAGCATTTTGTAGGTGGTGTCACATTTTTTTCAATGGGGAAGTAGGTCAACCCAAAGGGGTTTAGGAAAAGCGAAAAATTTCCCCAAAGATTAAGATCCCAAGGAGTTGCAGTGTCTGACAGGATTGAAAGGACTAAAGAAGCCACTGTGGGGCGAAACATTTCCTAAATTAAAGATCCCAAAAAGTGCCCCCATGTGTCTAATTTATCATTATAGTAGGTATCTAAATTGAAGTAGTCATCATTTTTAAAAATATTGGGGACCCCAAAAAATTTGGAGACCCTTGTGTAAATGGTAATGATTTGCCTTTAGCTGAGCTATTTTTTAGAAAGGGGGTTTTAATAATACAAAATTATAAGGGGGAAAAAGGAGGAAAGAGAGTTTTTTGGTGGAATGAGAAGAAAAAGGGGTGATAAAAGGGGAAAAAGGTAGTTTATGAGGGGTTTTTTATAAAGCAGGGTGTTTATAAGAAAAAAGGTAGAGTATTTTAAAAGAAAAAAGAAAGGTGAAGAGAGGGGTGAGAGAGTGAAAAAAGGAGAGCGGGATGATAAGTTTGGGAGGGGCATTGCCCAAGAAATTTTGAAAAAAATAAAAAAAAATTTTTGGGGGAGTGAGATTAAAAAGAAACCCCCGGGGAAACCCGAATGGTTTTGTGATTTTAAAAACAGAGTGGGGGATTTATAGAGGGGGAGCGGGAGGTTTTGGGGGGGGGAGAGGGCGGGAAAAATTTGAGGGCTTTTCCCCCTTTTTGACTGTTGAAAGCCCAATTCGAAACTGTCTTCATATGCAAAAAAATTTTAAAAAAAAAAAAAAATGTTTTTTTTTCTTACCAAAATCTTAGGCCCCCATTTGCTGAGTTTTTTGGGCCAAAAAAAATTTTTTTTGGATCCATATTTTTTTTTTTATCGAATTAGAGGCATAAAGTTGGCAGAAAATAAACCCCGTTCTCCCTAGTTGTACTCACCATTTGAGGTTGCGGGGGCAAGTCCGAGCTCCTGGCCCCCCCCTCTTCACTGATCGCTACTAGGCCCACCCCTCCTAAACCCTTTGGAGCTTTATCATACCTCTTCTTAAAGCTATTATGGATCCTCCCCTCACTACACCCGTTTTTCCCAAACTTTTCCCAATTTTACGGGACTACTCTGTGGCGAAAATATTTTTCCCTAACATCCCTGTGATTCATCTGTGTTTTCAATTTCCAAAACTGTGTCCCCTTGTTACTGTCCCTCCAATCTCGGGAACATCCTTTTTTGCCCCACCTTTTTCTTTTCCCTCTCAGAAATTTTGTATGTCGTTACCCATGCCCCCCCCCTATCTCTCCTGTCCTCCAGTGTCGTGGGTTTGTTTTCCCCTTTCCTCCCCTTCATGGGCCCTCCCTCTTACTCTGGACTAGTCTTGTTTAAAAAACCCTTTGCATTTTCTCTAGTTTCTTTACTTTGTTGGCTAGGTGGGGGTTTTCCAAAAACGGGTTTGCCGCTTTACTCCAATATGGGCTAACGTACACGGGTACGGGGGTCCTGAACAAAACCCTTTATTAAGAGTCAGAATGCTTTTTCTGAGGTTTGCTGGGCGCCATAGCTGAAAGCATTTTATTTGGTTGATGTGCGCTTCAGGAGAGGGGCCGGTGTTAAACTCCCCCCAAGATTTTTTTCCCTTTGGGTGAGGTTTGTAGTTGGAAACCTAGACTGTACTCCTTTCTGCGGCCCTTTTTTTCCCCTTCCCCAAATTTCAAAAACTTTGCACTTGGTGGGCCCTGAACTCCAGGGCCAATGCTGGACCGGGTCTCCCAGCCTGTCCAGACCCCTTTGTATTCCCCGGGTTTCTTCGATCAAGTAAATTTCTTTTTATCAACTTCATTTTCATTTTAAAACGGGGGACACCTCAAGTTTTTTCCTTCCTCATGTCGTTAACAAATACCAAAAACAGCAGGGCCTGGGACTCCCCCCTGTGACCGGGGGCACGGGGGCCCCCACTCGACCCCTCCCCACTACCATGACTCGCTGCTTTTTTCCTGAAAAAGTATTTCCTGTTTCCTTTGTAGTCCCTTCCCTGTTATCCCTGCTTGGCCCCTTCCAGTTTTTGCACCAATCTCTTTTTGTGGAACGGTCAAACGCCTTCTTGCAGTCCAAAAAAAAGCAATCCACCCCCCCCTCTCTCTCTTCTTACGGTGCCCACCATTCATAGAACCCCCAGTGGGTTTGTGACACAGGATTTTCTCCCTAAAACCCATATTGGTTTGTTTTGGAAGATCTTTCCTTTTTTGGGTGTTCCCCCAAATCTTCTCCTGATAATCTTCTCCATGATTTTGCATGCTTTTACATGTCAGTGCCCACGGTCTGTAGTTTGTGCTTCAGGGTCTCTCCTTTTTTAAAGTTTGGGGATACTTTTGCTGTCTTCCATGCCTCGGGCAATCTCCCTTTTCAATAGATTTTGAAAAATTGTTGTTAGGGGTACACATAGGCCCTGCTCCCCCCTCTCAGCCCCATGGGGGGGGGGTTTTTGGGCCCCATTCCCTTTTTGGGGTATCTACCCTCACCCCAGAAGCCTCTTCACTTTTTCCTCGGTTGGGGTCACTGTTTTTCCGGGCACATGGGGGTGTGCCCCACCTCTCTGTCTTTCGGGGGAGCCCCTTCTGTCTCCTCGTAACACTTTTTTAAAATCTCTTTTTGGGGAGTTCCTCAAAATACTTCACCGGTATTTCTTGTTGTCTCTCCCCCTTTCCTTTCCTTACCTGTTTACCGGGTCCTTGATGTTTTTTTTTCCCCCTTTGATGTGGCTGAAAAAACATTTTGGGTCAAAATTTGGGTTTCCCCTGCAAATTTTCTTTTTCCCCTATTGTCTTTGGGCCTCCCCTTTTTAAACTGGGCATATTCGTTTCGGCTTACGACTGCTCTCCTTATTCTCCGGGGCCCTTTTGGGTTTCTATATTTCTTCCTTTCCCTGGGCCCCTTTTGGGTTTTTTGGCCCCCCCGCACCTTTGGGTGAACCATGGGCTCACCCCCGGTTTTTTTCATTTTTCCTGTTACCCTTGGGTAAAAAACCTCTCCTCAGCCTCCTTGCTTTGTTGCACATATTCCATCATCTCTTTAAACTGGCTTCCCTGCATTTTCTCTGTCCCATGAACCTTTTCGGGAAATTTCCCTGTTTCCCCTGTGTAGTCCCCTTTTTTGGGTTATTTTGGCTTCATTCGTCCGGGCCTTCTGCTTCTCCCTCCACTTGTACTCTCCTGTGTTTCGAAGTTTTTAAAACCCCCAGGGTTTCGCGGGCCCCCAAAGGGGGTTTTTTTTTCATATGTATTTTCCCCCGATATCTGCCCCTATCAAGGTGAATACTAAAATCCAGCCTTGCTGGTTCATCCTCTCCTCTCTCTTTGTATGTCCCTTTGTGTTGGTAAAAATTTAAGTTTTTCCCGTCACCTCCCCTCATCTTAGCCCTCCCCTGAAACTTTGGGCCCCCCTGCAGGGCCAAGTTTTCCCAATCGATCTCCTTTGGTTAAAGTCCCCATGATCAGGGGCTTTGCCCTGCATGGGATGAGCTCTTTGGCCACTGCAAACCAGTTTTGTCAACCCTCAACCTTGCCTTGGGGCCCCCTGCCCGTTCTGTGGGGGGTTATACATCACCCGCTTTACCACCCTTGGGGCCTCCAAAAATGAAGCGTTCCCCCTTGTAAACACTTTCTTTCCGCTGTCTCCTTTTTCTCCAGCCATCAAAATTCCAGGGGATTTTTGATCAGCAATGCCACTCCTCCACCCCCCCTTCCCTCTCTTTTCCTCAGGATTTGGTTTTTCCCGTTGGAAAATGGGATTTTTTATCATACCTTAATGGGAAAAAGCACGAATGCTGCTTTACCCAGTACACTTATATTTTTCTCCCATTTGAAAGTTTCTTTTATTTTTTCCCTATTTTTTTTTCAATACTTATGTGGCCTGTAAAAACCAAAATAAGGTTTCAATGTACAGAAAATGCACTCGTTGTATGCCCAAAACAATAACTGCACAAAAATTTTCATTTTTAAATTTTTTACAAAAAATTTTTTACACAAACCAACAAAAACAAAAAATTTTTTTTAAATTTTTATTGTTCTAATTAAATTATACACATATGTAGTCATGGACCCCTCCTTTCAACTGCATTAGGGATCTGGAAGCTCATCTCTTCCTTCCCCCTTACTTCCTTCCTTCCTTCCTTCTCGTATCCTGGGGATTGCTTTTTGGTTTAAAATCCTCAAAGCTATGGAAAAATTCCCTTTTTTGCAAAACACTTCCCTCTGTGTTAGAGCTATCACTGGGGAAGAGAAAAAGTTCCAGATTGCCGTGGAGTCAGATTTTTTCTTTCTGCTAGGCATGCGAACCCAAAAATTTTGAAATGGCACTCTCAAAAATTTCCCTCCACTGGCCCCCCCCGTTTTTTTTTATTTCGGGGCACATGACCATGGGAAACCCTTCTTTCAATGTGGGCCCCACCAGTTTCCCTGCTTGATTTTAAGCTGCTAGAATTTATGCTATTAATACGTCAAAAAAAATTGGCTCGTAAATGTATTATATGGCCCCAAACAGTCAAAAAAGGAAATTTAAAAAACCCATGAAGAAAGGGGGGGAGGTAATTTCATGCACTGGGCCCCGCTAAATTTAACATCTTTTAGGAGTGAAAAAAAGAGCAGGAAAGGGGTGTGGGGGGTGCGTTTAAGCATTACGTGAATTTAAAAGGGGTTTAAAACAGCTGGAACTGATGGGATTTATGACAAAATATTAAAAGGGAGGGGGGGGTATAGCGTTGGAGTGGTTGGTATTTTTGTTTAATAAATGTATGAAAGAAGGGAAAGGGGACCTAGGGGTTGGCCCGAGAGATTTTATAGTTTTTTTCATATAAAGGGGAAAGGGGGGCAAAAGAGAGTAAAATTTTAGGGGGAATTTAAATTTACTGGAAAACCGGAAAGGTGTAAAAGTAGGGGGTTTTTAATTTAAAGAATTAAGGTAAGACAAAAAATAGGATTGCAGGGTGAGAAGGGGTTTTAAAAAGTGGGTAGGGGTTGTAGATTAAATGTTTACATTGAAATAATATGGAAAAAAATTTAGATAAAGGTTTGGGAAGTTTTTTATTGCAATTTTTGGGGTTTTGGGAAAAAACATATGATAGAGTGGGTAGCAGACAAAAGTGGCAGTTTTTTAATTTATGGAATAGGTAGAAAATTAAAATGCTGTAAAGAGTTTTTTTGGGGGATAGTGGGGGACTCAGGTTTGGGGGTGTAGGAAAGGGGGGGATTATTTCCCACTAAAATAGACCCTTTAAAAGGGGTGTGTAAATTTTCACCCTGGGTTTTTTAATATATTTTTAGATGAGGTTGTAAAAGAATTTAAAGCTGGGGGTTGGGGAGAGGGGGGGAATTTAAATTTTGGGGAAAATTTAATACAAAATTGGGGGTTTTTAATAGTTACTTTTTCTGATGAAACTGTTTCTTTTGGGGGATTTCTTAAAAAAAAAGTTGCAAAAGGGTTGTGGATAAGTTTGGGGGGTATGTAAAGGGGGAAAGTTGAAAATGAAAAAATAGATAAGAGTAGGGGGTTGGGTAAACTAAAGATTTTTGATAAAAAAAAATTTAAAATCACCCTTGGAGAGGGGGGAGTATGGAGGAAGTGAAAAGTTTTTTAGATATTTGGGAGTTGAAATTTCACAATGGGTTTAGAAGGGAAAAAAGGTTAAATGTAGAATTGATGAAAAGGGGAAAAAAGGGGATCGGTGTTTTTGAGGTATTTGTGGAGACAAAAAAAGTTAACCATGGGGGCAAAGAAGGGGGTTAAAGAAAATATAGTGGGACCCCAAAACTAAAAATATGGGGGTGAAGCTTTGGGGTTTTTAAAAAGCGCAGCCCCAAAGGGGTTTGGGTGGAGGGAGGGGGAAATGCCCTGCCAAAACGGCATGTGTGGTTTTAAATATTATGCAGAGAATTTTAGAGTTGGAAAATTTGGGGGAGGTGTGGAGTTACTAAAAGTAATTTTCAAGGGCTGACAAGAGGTTGTTAAAGGGGGTTTTGGTCCCTTTAAAAGAGAATGGAACCCAAAATAGAAAGACTTGGAGAGCGTTTTAATCTGAGGGGAAGGAAGGCCCGGGGAGGGGTTGTCCTAGAAAAAGGGTTGGGGGGGGAGGGGGAAAAGAATGTTTTTTGGGCAAGGGGGTTGGACTCCAGCAATTGCCCAGTGTGATGTAAAAGATAGGAGTGAAAAGGAGGGCGAATGGGTTTTTTGGGGCCTGTTTACTGTTGGAGTGTTAGCCCGGGTTTAAACTTTACTGAAAAGGGGGCAGGGAAACCGGTTTTTTTTTTATATAGCCAAAACTTTAGTACTGGAAATGGGGAAATACAAAGCCTGCCCCTTTTTAAAAAGGGGTTTGGGAATTGGGGAGTTTTTTTTTTTTTGGGGGAGTATGGGTTTTTTATCTGTATATAAAGCTTTTAAACTGCTGTATCGGGCACCCTGCAAAGCCCGGGAATGATTGTGGGGGTGAGGGGGAAAAATATTGGATTATATGAAATTTCTTTTTTGGGTCACCCCGCCTTGGGGGGGAGCAGCTGACTTGTTTTTAATGAAAAAAAAAAATTTAAAATGGTATTTTGCCCTTTCCCTTTAAAGAAATATTAAAGGGAAAAGGACACAAGTGCAACTAATGCAACATTTTGTGGCAACCTTTCACTCTCCAGGAGCTTTTGCCACAATAAAAAAGTCACATTAGTTTGCACTCTTGTACTTTTTCCTGATTATTGTGGGGTTTTAAAAATACCAAATTTAAAATATAATGAAAGCGGTCTGTTGGGTTCCATAGGGGCTGAAAAAAGAAAGGTTTAAAAATAGGGGTTTTGAATATTTTATACCTAGAGTTGTAATTTTTAGGTCTGATCATTTTCCCAGTATGGTTTGAACTAAAATAAAAATAGTGGGATAAAGGAAAAGGGGCAAGATAAGGGTTTAAAAAAGTGTATATGGAAAATGGGGGAAAATAAGGGTAAAAGGGGTTTGTAAGAAAAAAAGATGCAATTTTTTGGCATGACCCACCCGGTTATATTGTTAAGTCCGCCTAAACTACAAAAGGAGTGATGGGGGGGGGGGGCATTGCAAGTGAGTGGGGGGAAAGGGGGAAAAACCCGGTAAGGTGGGAGGCATACTGTGTCCCGAAATGTTTTTGTGACACCAAAAAAGAAATGTTAAGTTTAAAAAAATTTTAAAACCCTCTGCCCGCCCCGCTTGCTTTTCTTGCTTTTTTTGTGCTTTTCAAAACAAATTTTTTTGTCTCTGGCAGGGAAATTTTCCCGTTAGACAATGAGAAACTTGTCTTTAAATACCCCCCAGTGAAAAGGGGCAGGGGGCCCAGCAAAGTTTCCCCGAACAATACAAACTTGCGATTAGGAGGAGTTTTGGGCCATTTTTCCCAGGGTTCTACCAAAATGGTGCATGAAATGGAAAGGGTTTCAGGCAGTGGAAATTTTTTTTCACAGATCATTTTTTTTTTAAAACGTTTTGGGAGGGTAACATTTATAAAAAAATTTGGGGAAACTAGTTTGCTAAACTTGTCTTTTTCAGTTGGGAAGTGCAGTGCCCTGCACTCTGGAGTAGTGGGGAGGGATTTTGGAGTTGGAGGGTTTTAAACTGAAGTGTGATGTCAGCACACTTCTGGGGAGGGAGCAGTTGGGAAAAAATGAAAGGGAAAGTGGTTTTTTTTTTTGGGGGCACTCGCTTTGGGTTTGGGGGGTTGGTCTGAGGTAAAGAAAATTGTATTGTTTTCAAAAAATTTTTAAGGGTTTTAAATAATCCCCATATATTTTTAAAAATTGGGTTTTAGTTTCTCCCCGGTACATCAAGGGAAAAAATTCATATTATTTAGTTTTAGATTGGTAAGATTGAAGAAATATTTGGAACCCCTTTTGAAAAAATTTGTGCTGTCAAGCTTAGCGGGAATGTCAAAGCTTTAACATTCAAAGGAAAATACAAAGGTAAAAATTTTTTTTTCACAGTACGTAATTATAATTTTGAAGGAAATTTTTGGGCATTTTTCCCTTCAGAATAAAAATTTTTATACATTATTTTGTTGTTTGCTACTTTATGTTAAAAAATTATTATATGTGAGTTTTTTGGAAAAAAGGGAAAAAAAAAGCATTGTCCCTTTTTGATTCAAATTGACCATGCCATAAGCAGTGATACATTTTAAAAGAAAGACATGCTTTAAATTTATTATGAAATTTTAAAATTTGTTTCGAACCCTCGGTTAAAACTGAGTCTTAAACTTGGAAAAGCGCAATACCTAAAGAGGGGTTTGTGGGGGATTAGAAATAAAACCTTTCCATCTTTACTTACGACCTGCCGAAATACTCCACTCGACTTCCCACCGGTTTCATCTGGCAGCTGGGCTGGGGCCCCCGGGTGATGAAACCCCTTTTACAATATTTGAAAATACTCACGGCGGCAATGCCCATGCAGGCAGCAACAGTTTGGAAACCCCGTCCCCATCAGCAGCATCTACTGAAAATTTAAATTCTAACTGGGGAAAAAAATTTCAAACCCTGGCCCCCAAGATGAAGTCTGGGAAACTTGGGACTGGAAATTTTGGGAAAAAAGGGGTCTTACCCCCTCGAACTCTCTATTTGTTTTCACGTTGGGAAAATAAACCTTCTGTATCTGTCGCCTGTATATCTGTGTCTGCTGTAAACTGTGTGTGTTGTTTTTTTCTTCTTTTCTGTCTAAACCGTGTGTGTGTCTTTCTGTCACCCTTGGGTTTGTCTGTCTTAAACCCGTGTTCTCTTTCTGTCTACCTGTGTGTCTTTTCTGTCTACCTGTGTCTGTTTTCCCGTCCCGCTTTTTCTGTCTCAGAGCCTCTCATTAATAGTGTAATTTTTTCTTTAAAAATGCCATATTAAAAAAATAAAACAAAAATAATAATCACTGAGGACATTAAATGTGTATAAAAAGTTTAAAATAACAATTTTTCTTAATCCATCTATGATTTTTTTTTCAAAAATTTTATAATAAACATGCTATGAAACGTTTTAAAAAATATAAATTTAAAAAATATTAGATGTTTTTCTGGTCGGGTTTGGGAAAAGTGAAAAAACCCCCCCCGTGGGGGGCTGGAACAACAGGGAAAAAACAACTAGTTTGTTTACAAAACTCGCGAACCTTCTACACTTTGGAAAAAAACCCCGGGTTCAGTATTAAAGTGGGTCCTTTAATTTACAACATTTTACCCCCACAATGGGGGGTTTTTCAAGTCACAAACAAAATCTACTTGGGGGGAAGGTATGCATATTTATTGGGCAGGTTTAGAATGCTGGGGAAAGGGGGAGAAGGGTGCATGTGTGGTTTTTAAACCCGGGGGGGTTATAGAGTCTAAAATCTTGGGTTAAACCCTTTGGGAAAGGGGGGTGGTTTAAATATGTGAGTAAAACCGTCGCAGTGTTCCTCCCATTCCTATGTTCTTATTGGGGGGATAGCGATGAAGAAGTTTCATGTCAAGTGGGGTTTAGCCATTTATAGAAACCATTTTCGGGTTTAAGTTGTTGGGTATAGAGATAAAAAGATGACCAGGATTCTTCCCGGCCCCTGAGTGTTGTCTTCCTGGGAAAAAAGTTCCGGGGTTTTTTGTATTTTATTTAAAAGGTATGTGAATTGCCAAAGTTTTTTCACAGGCATTCCTTAGATCGTCAGACCGCTTGCGTATTGGTGTTCCCGAAATACAAAGTTTGGAGGTCTATTGATGATTTGCCCACGTATAATTTGCTGCAGTCATTTCAAGGGGTTATTCAGCTTCTTTCCCCCTGGGCCCCGCATTCTGAAGTGGGCTATAAATACTCCCCATAAACTTCCACCCCCCGGGGAGGTCTGTTTTTGACTCGAAAAAAACCCCCTTTTGTGGGGAAACGTTGCCAAAAAGGATCACATTATACTTTCTGCATGTTGGGCAGGGAAATTTTTTAAACCCTTTTTTTTCCCACTACCCCTCTCATTCTCTCGTTTTTTTCATTTAATTTGGGTTTTCTCCCTCCCCACTCTTCATTTTTGAAATACAGGGTTTTTTAAAGGGAAGTAATTTAGTGAACACAAAAATTTTTAAATTTTATTTTAATAATTTAAAAATATTATTAAACTTTTAATATTATTGTAGGTAGTAGGGTTTGGGAGACAGCAACCACCCGGGGGGTCTACCGTCCGCCAAGTGAGGTAAAACCCAAGCCCGTTTTTTGTTTTTCATGATGGTAGGATTGCTGTGTCTTTTGTCTGGGCCCCAAAATAAAAGCAAGATTACGGCATGTCTTGCTACTTCACTTTCACTTTGGTCACACTACACATACATGTTTCCATTTTTTTATACACACTCATCGAGTTTTTTTGATTTTATCTTTAAAAGTTCTTTGGGCTTTTTAATTTTTTCCCCCTTTTTATCCCTGGGGGAAGGGGGGAAAAAAAAATCTTTTTTTCCGTAAAACCATGCGTTTGTTTAAAAATCAACTAAATGGGCCCGGGGGGGAAAAAATGGGCTAGTAACCCCTTTTCCGTAAAGTTACTAAAAAGAATAAGAAGAAAAAATTTTCCAAAATGGGAATTTTGAATGTGCGTGGGTGTTGTGCAGAGATAAGAAAGAATGATTTTTGGATGTTTTGAATGAGAAAAAACTGGGGTCCTGGCTTTTAAATGAAACAAGCTGAAGGGGGTGGGGGGAGTTTCAGTGGGGAGGGAAAAAAATGGGATTAGGTCAAGGGGGTTTTAAAAAAAGAGTTAGAGCTAAAAAAGGGGTAGCAATAATGGGTTGGGAAGGGTTTAAACTTGGGAAAAAAGGGACTATAAATGTATTAATTCAAGGATTTTGTGGAGTAAAAAAAAGAAATTTGGGTTGGAAAAAATGGGTTATAATAAGCGTTTTATGACCCGGGGAAAAGAGAAGTTGAGGGGGGAGAGAGAGAGATTTTGGGAAAAGTTTTAGTGGGAAAGCGTGGGGGGTTTTTAACAAATGTTAGAGTAATTGGGGGTTGGGGGTTTTAAAGTAAAGTGGGTAAAAATGTTATGGAGGGAGTAGTAGGTAAATTTGGGGTGCCAGGGTAAATGTAAATGGGGAGCCTTTAATTGAGCTATGTGTAGAAAGAAATTTGGTAATAAGTAATACATATTTATGAAAAGAGGATAAATAAATATACAAGGTATGATGTAGCACGTAATGAAAGTAGTTTATTAGATTATGTATTGGTGGATAAAAGGTTGATGGTAGGCTCCAGGATGTACATGTTTATAGAGGGGCAACTGATATATCGGATCATTATTAGTTGTAGCTACAGTTAGAGTAAGAGGTAGATGGGAAAAGAGGAAGGTGGCAACAACAAGTAAGAGGGAGGTGAAAGTGTATAAACTAAGGGAGGAGGAAGTTCGGGTGAGATATAAGCGACTATTGGCAGAAAGGTGGGCTAGTGCAAAAGATGAGTAGTGGGGGGGTTGAAGAGGGTTGGAATAGTTTTAAAAATGCAGTATTAGAATGTGGGGCAGAAGTTTGTGGTTATAGGAGGGTGGGGGCAGGAGGAAAGAGGAGTGATTGGTGGAATGATGAAGTAAAGGGTGTGATAAAAGAGAAAAAGGTAGCTTATGAGAGGTTTTTACAAAGCAGAAGTGTTATAAGAAGAGCAGAGTATATGGAGAGTAAAAGAAAGGTAAAGAGAGTGGTGAGAGAGTGCAAAGGAGAGCAGATGATAGAGTGGGAGAGGCACTGTCAAGAAATTTTAATGAAAATAAGAAAAAATTTTGGAGTGAGTTAAACAAGTTAAGAAAGCCTAGGGAAAATATGGATTTGTCAGTTAAAAACAGAGTAGGGGAGTTAGTAGATGGGGAGATGGAGGTATTGGGTAGATGGCGAGAATATTTTGAGGAACTTTTAAATTTAAGGAAGAAACAGAGCAGTAATTTTCATGCACTGGTCAGGGAGGTATACCATCTTTTAGGAGTGAAGAAGAGCAGAATGTAAGTGTGGGGGAGGTACGTGAGGCATTACGTAAAATGAAAGGGGGTTTAAAGCAGCTGGAACTGATGGGATCATGACAGAATGTTAAAAGCAGGGGGGATATAGTGTTGGAGTGGTTGGTACTTTTGTTTAATAAATGTATGAAAGAGGGAAGGTACCTAGGATTGGCAGAGAGCATGTATAGTCCCTTTATATAAAGGGAAAGGGGACAAAAGAGACTGTAAAAATTATAGAGGAATAAGCTTACTGAGTATACCAGGAAAAGTGTACGGTAGGGTTATAATTGAAAGAATTAGAGGTAAGACAGAATGTAGGATTGCGGAATGAGCAAGGAGGTTTTAGAGTGGGTAGGGGATGTGTAGATCAGGTGTTTACATTGAAGCATATATGTGAACAGTATTTAGATAAAGATAGGGAAGTTTTTATTGCATTTATGGATTTAGAAAAGGCATATGATAGAGTGGATAGAGGAGCAATGTGGCAGATGTTGCAAGTATATGGAATAGGTGGTAAGTTATTAAATGCTGTAAAGAGTTTTTATGAGGATAGTGAGGCTCAGGTTAGGGTGTGTAGAAGAGAGGGAGACTACTTCCCGTAAAAGTAGGTCTTAGACAGGGATGTGTAATGTCACCATGGTTGTTTAATATATTTATAGATGGGGTTGTAAAGGAAGTAATTGCTAGGGTGTTTGGGAGAGGGGTGGGATTAAATTATGGGGAATCAAATTCAAAATGGGAATTGACACAGTTACTTTTTGCTGATGATACTGTGCTTATGGGAGATTCTAAAGAAAAATTGCAAAGGTTAGTGGATGAGTTTGGGAATGTGTGTAAAGGTAGAAAGTTGAAAGTGAACATAGAAAAGAGTAAGGTGATGAGGGTGTCAAATGATTTAGATAAAGAAAAATTGGATATCAAATTGGGAGGAGGAGTATGGAAGAAGTGAATGTTTTCAGATACTTGGGAGTTGACGTGTCGGCGGATGGATTTATGAAGGATGAGGTTAATCATAGAATT